ACTGGAGCTTGCCGAAATTTACGGGTTCATGCACCTGGCGTCAGCCCCATGGCCCACCTGTCGTTGGTAGAGCACCCTTTGACTGACCCAGGCTGCTCCTTGTTAGTCCAAACAGTGCAGGTCTTCAGACGTCATGGTAATTCGGATCAGGTCCTTTGCCTATTGACCAGATCTTGAGCGATTGGAATGAGCTTCCAGCCAGACCAGGTCCAGGCCATATCCTCCTTGAACGTTTGCACGCAATAGGCTGGAAGTGGCTGAACAATGGCTGGGTCCTAGACCATGAAGCGCAGCCACTTGACCTCCTGCATGGCAGCCAGTCCGAAGTTCATCAACGACTTTTGGATGGCTGGCAGAGTTTTGTGCAAGGGTGCGTGAGTAAGCGTAAAACCTTCCACGGCATGGAATGGATAAGTGTCCCTCTTACCCTAGAAAACACGTCCAAGTTGGCGGCTAGCAAACTTGGCCTGCTCCGCAAGGTATTTAATGGCACCTTCTTTACGGCAGACACCCAAGCACATAATCAGAACGCACATACCCTTTTAATTGTAAGTATTGTGGACAGCCAGACTCCCAATTCCATCGATTTTGGGAATGCAGCCATTTCGATAGGTCCCGACCATATCCTTGGCTCACGACAAAGATTCTAGAAGGGGGACTCCCCAAGTGTCTTACCTCGCATGGGTGGATTGGTCTGCCACAATCAGTGCGCTCCCTCCAGCAATTGTTGTTGCAGCAACCGGCCCTCACCAGCTGGTTCGATCCTGCCCCATTTCGAGCCGTTGACCTCTTCATAGATGGGTCGTGTGTCCACCCCACATGCTGCTTCACCCGAGTTGCAGGATGGAGCCTCATTGCCGCGGATCCGTCAGACGCTGACAAATGGTGGCCTGTGGCACAGGGATTGGTCCCCGGCCGCCTGCAGACCAGTGGGAGGGCCGAAATTCTTGCAGCCATCAGTGCAGTGCGGTATGCGCTCTGCCCAGGTAGTGGACACGCTTACTGCAGCCATTCGTGACCCAGTCAACTGCGGTGTTTCCTGTAAGGACCAGGACTTGTGGCATGAATTGATCGCCTTAGCGCGAACCGCGCCTCCTGCCTTAATCCAAGTCATTAAGTGAGGCCAGCCATCAGCGGAGAGCTAATCTCCACTGGGTCGATCTTTGGGCTTTCACTGGCAACGACTGTGCCGACCACGGCGCCCAGTGGAGCACGCTGTATCCAGGCGATGTACACCGGATTTGGATTAAAGCAGTTGCGGACCTAGAGGCAGCCAGAGCCTTGCGTGATGACATCCATGCCACGATGCTCAAGGTTAGCGAGGATGCTGTCACTAAGGACACACCTGTTGTTGCCAACGATCCGCCTCAAACAGATTTTCCGCTACCCTTGCTTGGCCGACCTTGCCCACCCTACCTCCTAAGCCACAAACGACCACCCACAAATTAGTAGGCCAGGGATGGGATTGCATTTCGTCTTGGTCCAGCACGATGCAGTCCCCCGCTGCCCCACTGCTCCACATTCCCTGGCTGTACCTACTGATTGATTTCGTGTTGAGCTCAGGTAGCGGTGGTGTCCGACCCAACCGCGACTTTAGTACTTGGCAATGGCTCTCCAGAGAAGAAGCCACAGAGTTTGAGCTGCAGGATAGGATAAAGTGGTTCCGGCTCTTCATCATTCGGATTCACAAGCTCGAAGGACGACCGTTGTCCACGAATTACTTGCGGCCCACTTCACGAACCACAGTGTTTTGGGCACACTGCTTGACTTGTCGTATCGGTTTCGAACTGTTGAGGACTACATCCACAAGTTCAAGGCGACGCTCACTTGCGGCGCAGACTTAGGTTCCATCACTCTGTAGTGATTTTCCCGGGACATGACGTCCCCCGCGAAAGCTGCGGTGTCGGAGTCTTTCGGAAAAGCGGAAAAGTGGAGGCCATCGTTATTATAGAAAAACTAGACGACGAGTGGCCCGAAAGCATTTTTCATCACGTAGGAAATCAGAGTGCGATTTATCTGTTAAGTGTGCAGTGTGAAGTGTTAAGTCGAGTGAGTTGAGGTAGTGCGTGGGTTTCTGTGTGTGTATCTGTGTCCGTGTGTATATGAGTCTGTGTATGTGTGTGTGTTCGTGTAAGTTGAGGCAGTGCGTGGGTGTCTGTATGTGTGGGTGTCTGTTTTTGCCACATGGGACCTTTGGTCACATGTTCAGTCTCGTGTGTCGAGTCCGTGTGTGAGTCTGCTGTACTTCTTTCCTCGCCCAGCAGCGCCGCATTGTCGGCGATGGAAGCGTCAGCGGCCTTACTTCTCTTCGTTACTACTAGTAGCGATGCACTTGTTCCTAGTAGCTTCTTGTTACTACTAGTAAGGCACTTGTTACTAGTAGCGATGTATTTGTTCCTAGTAGCTTGTACTTGCCTCTACCTCGTAGGAAGTCAGAGTGGAACACGTTGCTGCTGGTAAGGGGAGAAGCAGCGTGCACGCCTCCAGGAAATCTCACTGAAAAAAGCAAGCTGGAATGAAGCGTGCTAAAGTTGTACTACAAAGTCGCCAGTTCTCATCTTCCAGCTCCACAGATTGCTCCGCGTACTATAGTTCTACTACCAAGTCGCCAGTTCTCATCTTCCAACTCCCCAGATACTCCGCGTACTCAAGTTGTACTACCAAGTCGCCAGTTCTCATCTTCCAGCTCCCCGGATACTCCGCGTACTAAAGTTGTACTACCAAGTCATTGTACTACCAAGTCACCAGTTCTCATCTTCCCACTCCCCAGATACTCCGCGTACTAAAGTCGTACTACCAAGTCGCCACTTCTCATCTTCCAGCTCCCCAGCTACTCCGCGTACTACAGTTTTACTACAAAGTCGCCAGTTCTCATCTTCCAGCCCCCCAGCTACTCCGCGTACTCAAGTTGTACTACCAAGTCGCCAGTTC